GCCAAGACAAAAAGGTGTGAGCCAGAGGCTAAAAAACTGCGAGCTATAGCTCACACTCACTCAGCTTAGCGGGAACACTGCTCAAGGCGGCTGCTGACCCCGTAGGCGCTTCGCTTTGCACCCAGCGCTCCCTCTGAGCCGTGGAGTCTCGTGAGCAAAAATTCTACTTGGTGAGCGACTGCCCTTAAAGGTGTGAGTGAGCCATTTGGCTGCTGCATGAATTACTTTGCTCTGGAGCCATCCTTTCTGAGCTAAGAGAAAAAGGTATGAACCGGAGGCTGAAAAACTATGAGCTACCTCACACTGACTCAGCTTAGAGGGAACACTGCTCAAGGCGGCTGCTGTCCCCATAGGCACTTCGCTTGCACCCAATGCTCCCTCTGAGCCGTGGAGTCTCGTGAGCAAAAATTCCACTTTGTGAGCTCCTGGCATTAAAGTTGCGAGCCAGTGATTTGGCGACTGCATCAACTAGTCTGCTCTGCAGCCCTCCTCCGTAGGCGCTTCGCTTTGCACCCAGCGCGCCCCCTGAGCCTTGCAGTCCGTGCGAGCAAAAGGTCCACTTTGTGAGCATGAAGGTTGTGAACAAGGATTTGGCTGCTGCATGAATTACTTTGCTCTCTGGAGCCCCATCCTGCCTGAGCCAAGACAAAAAGGTGTGAGCCAGAGGCTAAAAAACTGCGAGCTATAGCTCACACTCACTCAGCTTAGCGGGAACACTGCTCAAGGCGGCTGCTGACCCCGTAGGCGCTTCGCTTTGCACCCAGGGCTCCCTCTGAGCCGTGGAGTCTCGTGAGCAAAAATTCTACTTGGTGAGCGACTGCCCTTAAAGGTGTGAGTGAGCCATTTGGCTGCTGCATGAATTACTTTGCTCTCTGGAGCCCCATCCTGCCTGAGCCAAGACAAAAAGGTGTGAGCCAGAGGCTAAAAAACTGTGGACTAGCTCACACTAACTCAGCTTAGAGGGAACACCGCTTGCACCCCGCCTGTCTCCAGAGCAGTTGGCATCATTCCTCTGCCTTCCACTTCATCCTTCCAAAAACGACCCCCTGGGAAGAAGCACTAAGTCGGAGGGTCCAGAGGCCCCTCGGAGACCGACAACGGCTTGACTCTGGGCAGAAGCCTCCCTGTGCCCACACACTCCTTCAGAGACCTCTGAAGAGTTAACAAAAAGATGCAAGAACGGAGTCCAGGGGCACCTTGAAGACCAACAAAGCTGCATTCTGGGTAGAAGCTTTGTTGGGCATGCACACTTCTTCAGAGACAATGAAACAGACTTCCCCAAACATATAGGTAGAGGGGGGAGGCTAATTGGAGTCAAGATGCATAAGTCACTGAGCAATAAGTACAGCTAAGACTGGATTAAAGCAGCTGGTAAGACCTGTGAAGAACAGCAAATTAGCACACAGATGCTGATGCTGGGAAAGACTGAAGGTGAAAGAAGAAGGAAACGGCAAAGGATGAGATGGTTAGGCAGTGATATCGAGGCAACGAACATGAAGTTGAGCGAACACCGGAGGACGGTGGAGGACAGGAGGGCCTGGCATGATGTGGTCCACGGGGTCGAGAAGAGTTGGACTCGACTGTGCGACTGAACAACAAAAGCACACAGATAATAAAAGACCTAACAAAGAGATGCAAGAACTGAGTGACTTAGCATGTGTAGTTGTGTCGTGAGATAAGAACCCAATATCCCTGTTAAGCCCTGGGGAAGGTTAGGCTCAGAGTGTGTGCCTGACCCAAGGTCACCCAGCAGGCTTCCATGGCACAAGTGTGGGATTTGAACCTGCCCCCAACCTGTTCCTAGTCTGACACTCTTAACAACTGTACCACACTGGCTTTCCATCATAACGCGTTGCCATAGAACCCACCTCCCACCCCTGTGATCTGCAGAAACGCCATAACTCTACACCCACCCCCACACACACACCAAGGGCCATGGCAGAGGCAGGAGCAAGCCCACCACCCCGTTTGGTGGGCACCCACCACGGCAGACGGCAGCAGCTGCCCGTTCCTCCCCGCTGCCAGGCCTGAGACAAAGGGCGGGTGCTGCGGGGAAGGGGAGGGGCAAGACTGAACCCCGCTTGGCTTCCACGTTCCCAGCAAACAATGGCAAAGAAGGGGTAGAAGAGGGGGGGACGGGGAAGGTCAGATGAATGCCAGAGACTCTGTGACTTTTCAGTAACTGTTTATTGCAAACATAGAAACAGAACAGCTCCCTTTCTCTCACTGGGTTCCTTTCCAGTGAGTTTCTGCTCCCCACCACCACCACACCCCACTTCCTGCTAGGACTCCTGGCTCCTCTTTTCCTTGGGCCTAGGAGGTGTTCCCACTTCACTGCAGGGAGCAAAGCCAGCTGCACCCCCCACCACCACCACCAATAAGCCACTCCAGTCCAGCAGACAGACCTCAGGAGGCTACCTACCACAGCCCAGCTGGGGTCTCCAACACGCCTTGTACTGCCCCCCCCCCCCCCCCCGAGAAGCAAGGCCTTGCTTTCTACAACACCCCCCCTCCTGCCAGCCTTCTCAGCTTCCCTCAAGCGGCGCCCTGATTCCACAGCCCCTTCCAGGGAAACCACCTCCCGCTGGACTCTCGCAGCACTAGGCCAGGCAGCTGGTGGTCAGGCCATTTCCTTTTATTACATGATTAAATCCACGTTAAAATTGAACCGGGCGGAGGGGGCTGCGGGGTGGTCCCAGCCGGCTCCTCCGTCAGCTGGTGTGCGGCTGATCGGGCTCGGGGTGCTCCGTGCTGGGGGGCTGCGGTGTCCAGGGGGCGGGAGGGGCAGCGGCCTCCCCACCCTTCGCTACCTGGGGCTTGCTCAGCGTCGCATAGATGCCCATAGCCTGGAGAGAACAGAACCGAAGGGAAGGTCAGACAGCACTCCTCCTGCCGAGGCTTCCGAGGCAAGTTAATGACTACGCAGGAGAGAGAGAGAGAGAAGCCGCCTGCCACCTACCCTTACCGGAAATCCTTAAAAGGACTCCTGCCTAGCTGCCCCCCCCCGAAAGAAATGTCAGTACTGGGAAAGGGGGGCCAGGAGCCAGAGCAACGGCCTCTTCAAAGCCCCGACCAAAGCAAGGGTGGACCATGAACTCCCCAGAGCCCTCCGGAGCTCCATCCAAATCTTGCAGGCACATCAGTACCCCAACTCCTGGGCCATGACAGCCACGGCCAGGCCGCCTACCGGAATCATAGAGTTGGAAGGGACCTCCAGGGTCAGCTAGTCATAAGAACATGTTGGATCAGGCCAAAGGCCCATCCAGTCCAACACTCTGTGTCACACAGTGGCCAGAAATACCAGGGGCCATCAGGAGGTCCAGCAGTGGGGCAAGGACTCCAGAAGCCCTCCCACTGTTGCCCCCCCCCCAGGCACCAAGAAGACAGAGCATTCCCTGCCCCAGAGTCCCAATCTATCCCTTGTGGCTAATAGGGGCCACTGATGGACCTCTGCTTCCCAGTCAAACCCCCTGCACAAGGCAGGATATTCACAAATACCTCTCCCCCTCCACACTTGCAGTGACCCCTGATCCTAGCCCCAAAGTGGCAATCAGCAGTTCCCTGGGCGGGTAAGAAAGGACCACGAGAACTAAGTGCTGATGCAGCCCTTCCTGTCCTCCCTCTCATGATCTGCCCAAGTTCACAGAATCAGCATCGCTGTCAGATGGACATCTAGCCTCTGTTTGAAAACCTCCAAAGAAGGAGAGCCCACCACCTCCCGAGGAGGTCTGTTCCACTGAGGAACCACTCAGAACCGCTCGAACTGTCAGGAAGCTCTTCCTAATGTTTAGCCAAAAACTCTTCTGATTTAATTTCAACCTGTTGGTTCTGGTCCGACCTTCTGGGGGAACAGAAAACACAAGCCCAGACCAGAACCAACAGGCTGAAATTAAGAAGAGGAGGAGGAGGAGGAGGAGATTGGATTTATACCCCGCCCTTCACTACCCGAAGGAGTCTCAGAGCAGCTTACAAACTTCTTTCCTTTCCCCTCCTGTGAGGAGGTGAGGCTGAGAGAGCTCTCTAGAGAAATGCCCTTGAGAGAAAAGCTCTGACAGAACTTGTGACTGGCCCAAGGTCACACCAGCAGCTGCATGTGGAGGAGTGGGGAATCAAACCCGGTTCTCCCAAATTAGAGTCTGCACTCCTAACCACTACACCAACCAGGACATCAAGTCAGGCTGCCCTCAACGGAGGGAGGGGGCCTTCTGCCAAGAGACAGTGCCCCCACCCAACACAGGCGGGCAAAGCGCTTCAGCAGACAGTGGCCCTTTTGGAATAAAAAAATGAGTCCACGTCCGTCACTGCTCTTAGAAAGTTCAATGGAGTCTGACCGCACGCCCTTGCAGTGCTGTGGGCCCTACCTGCCCAGTCACCCTCCCCAAGGGGCGTGGCAGCCTATGCCAGCCGCCTCCTGCACCAGCCTCACCTGGGTCACCATGCTGGAGATGTCACCCGTGTTGGAGGGCAGGAGGAGGGTGTTGCCCTCTTTCGCCAGTTTGGAGAAGGCACTCACGTACTGCTCGGCCACGGACAAGGAGGCGGCTGCGTCGCCATTCTGGGGAGGAAAGCGAGACCTGTGAGCGGAGCCGCCTCACCTGAGAGCAAGGCCAGCAGGAAACAGCATGGCCCTGGGGCGGGGGGGGGGGGAGCGCAGGCCCTGGGATGCCCTTTTATAGGCCGGAATGTCCATCTCCTCCAGCTCACAGAAGGTGGAACAAACAGGGGGCTACCTCCCTGCCTGCGAAGGAAGATCCCTGGGAGAGGGCCCCCCCCCCAATATCCCACCCATCAAAGAAGCCTGTCTGCTGGGTACCAGAGAGGGCCTTTTCAGTGGCAGCCCCACAGTTATGGAACAACCTCCTATGGGAGATGTGCCGGGCACCCCTCACTCGCCATCTTAGATGCAGACTGCTTTTGCTTTTAGGATTTTAACAAGGAGCGGGACCCGCAATATTCACGGGGGAGTATGCCCCACAGCCTGCAAAGCAGGAGGAGGTCCTCACTGAGGAGGAGAAAGAGGCAGCTGCAGGTAAGTCCAGCAGCAACGGCAGCAAGCCCTGCCCGAGTCCCAGCTGCCCGCCCACCCGCCCAGGCTCCCCCGGGCTCCCTCACAGCTGCCAGCAGCAAGCTCCGCCACAGTTCCAAACGGCAGGTCCATTCTCCATGCAT